GATACCTTGAGGTTGCTAGACAATATATGATACCTTCAGCTTGCTCAAATATTTGCCTAAAATAAGCGTTCTGAGCGTACAACTAGATGCTCTAGACCGTCGATTAATTCACACAGAGATCAAACCAATTAGTTGGAACGACTAGATAAAAATCCGGCACGTGACCAACACTTAGCGCTTAGGTGGGGATCAATCGAACGTCTAAAACAATTTTTAGAAGAGTGTAGCATGACACATAAGGACTAGAGAACAAAAAAGATACCGAGTATACTCATATCATTTCGGACAGAGCTTGAGTGTGACTACAATATATGAGAAAATGATTAGTTAGCTTAAGATGATTAATTGTGTCCCCAGTCCATTATTAGAAAGTCTGTTGGCTGGCTTTCATGAGTGTAGACATGATTGGTCGAGCAGCTCTACCATCCACTCCAGGAACCGAAGATGATTTCAAGAAGAAGCTAAGTCAGGTGGGGATAATAGTCCATGGCAATCGATTTTTTATTTATTTATACTTTAGTGCACATTTTCTCATTTTTCCATTTATTTCATTCTACTACTTAGTACTCCGTATATTATACGGAGTAGCACGTAGTATCATTTAATTAAATCAAATCTGGTCTCATAAAGTATTAAAGTTCACGCATTTAAACACGGAAGTGAGGCACTACATCACCTAGGGTTTTAAGTGATTGTACATCCGCATCTCAGAAACATTTTTTGGCTGCGAGACAGATTCCTTTATGTTTTGAATAACAACGTGCATCAAAGAAGTTATGGAGAAATCTGAAATCATCGACAGGGTTCAATCTGAGAATGAGATGAATAAGAAATTGGCCGAGTTTGATGATTTTCAGTAGACTTACAATCACCCGGTCTTGGAGGAAAATGGTAATGTGATGGTCAGCCCCCTTCCTGAACCACCACCATGGAGTGAACGAGCGGCTAGGCTTTGGATAATTACAATTGCTTGCTCTATTTTTATTTTTAGTTTAAGCTTTATTTTTGTTTCGTTATACATTTTACCATATTTTTGGATTGTTTGAGTTAGTGACAGTCTTGGGGTGAATAAAGCTGTTATTTACCTCGAAGCTCTTATATGTTCAGCGAAAAGTTTCGCTCAGATTTGGGTAAACTTTTCTATGCCTGATTAGAGACCGAGGGGACTTTTTGGTTGTTATGAGTGTAGTGAAGTGGGAAAAAGTATAATGTAACTGAATTCTTTATCTTCTTTAAATCAACTTAACAAATTGATATTTTCCAAAGTTCTATAAATGTCACAGAATGAAAAGTCCTAATTAAATACTACCTCCGTCCCAAAATGAATTTCCCAAAATGGATTACGATGCTTGACCGATGATAAAGCAACTCGATCCCTGTTCATACTCAGATTACTTTTAGTAAAGAAAATTTACATATTGAGAAACTACATTAAAACCGCTACAAAGGCTGATAAAAAAATATAAATTTGATAAAAATTTGATATATAAAATATAAGATTAAGAGTAATTTAAGTTGACCATGTGAATAGTGACTGTGAAGTTCATTTTGGGACGGAGGGAGTATATATTTTTACTTCATGAAGACCTTAATTAAAATCAAATTACATATTCTAAAAACTCGAATTAAATATTCTAAAACTATATACGATCGATTAAGTTAGTTTATTGACACAAAAAAGAAAGGAAGAATAAGACCTAAAATTTTGTAATGAAAGAAGAAAATCATAAGTGAGTGTCTGAAAAAACGGACTATGAAACCATAGTGACCAATATGAGATTTATTGGCCAAGACATGAAATAAAGGTATGGATTAAGGAAGGTGAATTTATAGTAATAATAATATCATCAACATGGAGAAGAAGATAAAGAATATTCAAATTCATTTTGAATTTGAATAATATCATCAACATCGACGGTTGAACAGTGTGGGAGCAGGAGAACTAGGATGAAGGCTCAATTCGTTTTGGCTCATGCGACGATCGGCGTCCAGTAGAAGGGTAGGGTTCGTCGGCAGCAACTTCAACGGCGAACAGTCCGCATAGTGCAAGCGTAAGCCAGACGAAGATGACAGACATGAATGAGTTTGGGGAGATAGACAGGCTAGCAACCGCGTATGGCAAAATGGAGATGAAGGAAGAAGATGAGTTTCTTTTTATGGAAGCTAAGGATCCAGGGAGCGAGAAGGTAGGTTTAACTTTGGTAGGGACAACTACCTCTAAAAAGTTGGTACATTTCTCTTTCTTTTGCGATACTATGGCTAATGTCTCGAAACCTGTTAGAGGTGTAACTATATTATGAGATAGGCGCACAAAGATATCTGTTCCAATTTTACAGTGAAAGTGATTTGACACGTGTTTTGGAGGAAGGGCCATGGACTTTTGACGAGAGCCTCATTGTTCTTCCTAAGCTAAAGCCAACAGACTTGCTTTTTCAAGTACCATTGAATAAGGCTGACTTCTGGATACAGGTTCATGATGTGCCAATGGGGTTTTTTCTGTGAACAATGCCATAAAAATTGGGAATTCCGTGGGGAATTTTATTAGGGTGGATGAACAGAATTTTTCTGCTGAATGGAACCCTTATATGAGGATAAGGGTTATTATTGATTTGAACAGACCTCTGAAAAGGAAGTTGTTTCTCCAATCGGATGAAGGGGAAAACTTTTGTGTGAAATTTAGGTACGAAAAATTGCCTAGTTTTTGTTTTGCCTGCGGAATTATCGGACACGCAGAAAGATTTTGCCTGCGTTATCCTGATGGCAAAGGCAGAAGTGGAGATTTATTGTTTGGGCCTAAGCTGAGAGCGTCTAAAGGAAACGTAGCAGCGGTGGGGGGGGGGGGGGGAGGGGGGGGGGATGAATGGTTGGTCCCAGTTGGCAAAGGAAAAGGAAAAGAAGAGGAGGGGGGAATAGGAATGGGAAACTCGGGTGTGCAGAGAGAGCCGCAACAGGGGAAAGATACTGCTCATATGGGAGACAAAATGGAACGGAAGCGGAGGCGAGTGGATAATGAAGAACCAGAGGCAACGCAAAATAACATGGAAGTGGAGATGGGCACACCAAAAAACGGGGAGGAGGCGGGCTACAACGCATGCCTCATCGACAACTAAAAAATGCGATGGAGGAAGCAGCAGGGATGGAAGCATGCAAACTTCATCATCTGGACTTTTATTTTTGTTGTTACTTGTTTTTTTTGTCAGGACTCAGTCTATTGTTGTCTTTTTATTCTTGCTCATAATAAGGGTACTGATTTAGTGGGTAGTCGTTTTGTGATTAGACTTTTTATGGATGGAGGCAATCAGGCTGATTCAGCTAATAATAGCCTCTTTGCTCTCACCGTTTCAGCGATTAGTCTGACTCTCTACATGATGGACTATTCTATGTCTGAGCATGACGTGAGGGAGTCGATGGACTTTTATTTTAGTTGGTCTAGTGGGAAGGTTAAGTATTGTGACATTAATATTGTACTCGTTCATTTGATTCTAATATAAAGTGTTTCCTTACAAAAAAAACACTATGAACTTAGGTGGTGGAGTATCATTTTAACGGAACACAATTTTACAAACAAATAATCTTATAGAAATTACTTCAAATAGGACTAAAACTATGACAAAAACTAAAAATAGGACTTACTATGTTTTTCAAAATAGGACCATATTAGCCCTATTGGAAACATACATATTTTTTCATTTCATTATTATCCTTCCTTTAAATATGAGTTAATAGAAAAAAATTCAAAAATCCGTAGAAAAATAATTTAAAAATTTATAAAAAATTTATAAAATATTTTTTTTAATATTTTTTTGAAAATTAATAAAAAATAGTAAAACACCATTAAAAAAATTAAAAAAATATGGATGCCTTTCCCACCGCCTGTACTACCTCCCTGCACCACCATCTCCGGCCGGTGAAAAAAATGTCATTTTTCCTAAAAACTGCCTTTTTTTTTCTGAAAATGCAAAAAACATGGCATATTTCTCTTTGAGAATGCAAACATTTTCATTGTTTTCTGCCATAAATATGGCATTCGTAATGAACTTGGCATCTTTTTCCCCCGGTGACTGGAGGTGGTAGTGCAGAGGCGACGGTGAATTTTATTTTATTTTTTTGAGTTTTTTTTGAAAAAAATAATAATTAAATTATTATTATCGAAATATTTTTATTAATTTTTTAGTATTTTTTACAATTTTTTATTATTTTTTATTATTTTATTATGAATTAAAACATTTTAATAGCTATAAGGGTATATTTGTCCAAGACACACATAATTAATCCTATGAAAACATAATTTATTTTTTGATCCTATTTGTGCAAAGTGAATGACTTTTAGTCTTATTTTGATAATTAATTCATAATCTTATTAACTAATCCAATATCCATCACACAATAGCTAACACAATAACCAACGGCCAATTGGCAAGCATCTTACCTTCCCTTCCTTTTTGTCACTGCTCCGGCCAAACAAAACTTTAGGGTATGTTTGGGAGTTCGGAGGGAATGGAAGGGGAAGGCTTTGGAGGTATGTTGTTGGAGAGGAAATGAAGAGGACGGGGAAGAAGCTCTTCTTTGTATTTGAGAGTAATAAATTTGGAAGAAGAGAGTTTTTGAATGAATTATAATTAAAATTACTTTGAGATATGACGAATTTAAATAATTGAACTGATATTTATTTTTAATTGAGCTTAAATTATCATTTCATTAATTATCCTTCAAAACACTCCAAATTGGGAGAACTTAAAAATTAAGCATTTAGAGGGTTTTGGAGGGTCATGAAAGCCCTCCAAAACCATTCCCTCCAGTTTTATAAACTCCCAAACGTGAAAAGGAGGATTATGCATGTTTTTACTTGGACTTGTAATTTCTCCCAGACTAGATTGGACCAGACCAAACCAGACCAGACCAGATCAGACCAGACTAGGCCAGACCAGACTTGGATAGTTATAAAAATACAAAGAAACTCGACCAGATTAGACCAGACCAGACCAGACCAGACCAGATCAGACCAGACCAGACCAGCAAATCAGCTCATAAGCTCTGCTCTGTGTTCATCATCATAGCTCCACTGGTGAAGAAGAGTCTAACACCCGGCATTTAAAATGTCAACTACGCTGCACTCGCCTCTCATCTTCTCTTTCCTATCTTCAGCTATGAAGGTATCTCTCTTTCCTTTATCCATCTATGCATTATATGATTGAATATATAACTGCGGTTGTGGCGAAATAATATCCAGCAGGAGAGAAAACTAACATTCGCAGCTCCTGCAAAGTCGAGTCTCTACTACAATTCGATGTCACGCTTTTCACTAATCCGATCTTCTACTGACTTCTCGTCCTCACTGGCCACCGGTTCGCTCTATACGTACCTGATTGTGGATGTTGATATGATCACATTCAGAAATTGTGAACCTTTTGATTTGATTTGGGTTTATTCCGGTAATCAATGTTTCCAGGTTTCACTACTGAATTGGATGCAGTGACGAATTACAGTGAGATTGTTCCTGATACAGTAGTTTTTGATGATTTCGAGAAGTACAGTTCGCCTCCCTCTAATTGCAGTTCAGTCTGTCAAGGCATCAGTAGTTAATTCTGTTTAAATTTGTCTATTTTTAGGGGTGTTTGGAATTGCTTCTGCTTCTGCGTCTCTTTTAAAAGTAGAATTGTCTATTTTTCAGAGATTAGTCTCTCCCAGCATCTAAAAAACTGCTTCTAGGAGCAAATTGGAGCACCCATAAGTACTTCTGCTCCCTAAAGGAGTATAAACACTTTTTAATATATGCTTCTGCTCCCTGAAAGAGTAGAAGCAATTTTCAGAAGTGGATCCAAACAGTCCCTTATTTAATAGTTTATTGATTGATCTCATCTTGTGTTACAATACACTCCACATAACTTCCGTTTTCAGATTCCCACCTACTGCTGCCACTGTTAGCTCTTCTATGCTCTTAGGCATCTGTAGCCTTCCTGATACCAAATTTAAGGTGACAATATGTACTCATGCCAATTACTATCAACCATTTGCAGTAATAGTTTCAATATACCAATTAAGGACCAACCTTCCTGTCTCATGCATACATGATTGCTTTGTAAAGTTGTGAAGCATTGGTTTATATAGTTGGCATACCCACTAATTGACTGGGTGAATTTTTTTAAATTTCATCATTTAATGCTATGTTAATAAGAAAGCTAAAGTTTGGTGCAGAGCGCTGTGGACACTGCTTTAGCAGATCCTGATTGTTACAGAGTTGAGGACAAAAATGCACGGATGTCACGCTTCTTTAACAAGGCTAGACTTTTCACATACCCAATTACCTAAATGATATACAGAATCCTTTGCTCTATATATTACCCAAGATCTAACTTATATTTTATTGAAATATTTAACAGTGCAGGCTTTGGTAAATGTTGGTGGTGATCTTGCAAAATTTGTTCCTGGTCGAGTTTCCACTGAAATTGATGCTCGTCTTGCATATGACAAACATGGCATTCTTCGAAAGGTAATAGTTTTCTCTTCAATTATCTGATTTATTTGTGGTAGTTAATCCAGGTATGTAACATTGTAACTATGTACTTACTTCACTTAAACGAACTTATATATCCACATGTATGTTATTTATCCAGACTTGGTCTGTGTAGGATTCGTTTGTGCCATATAAGCATTGGAAAGGACATAACAAATAGTTCAGTTGATTTACAATAAACAAATTACACACAAAAGAAACCAAAGCAAGTTTTGTGATCTTTATATTGCTGTGACAATAGATGGGAGTTTGAGGTTTACCAATATGTGAGGTGTAACAATATGCTCTTATTGTCTTAGTTTCCTGTTTTGGCTATTAGTATCAACTGTCAGTTTAACATATACTACCTCCGTCCCTCTTAAATGTTCCTATCGTAAAATGGCTCGGTTATTTAGACAACAATTAAATAAGGTTATTCGAGTATATTTTGCGAAATAGTTTTGATGGGTATATAATATAATGGGGTCATAACTGTGATGTCATAGATGTATTATTTTTAATATTTGATGATTAAATTGTCATTTAAGAGTGTTAATTGTTTCTTAAAATAGAAATGGGAACCTTTTTATGGACGTCCAAAAAAATAAAGCGGAAACCTTAGAATGGGATGGAGGGAGTACATTTTTCATTTTTGGCAGCCCTAAACTAGCTTTAGCTAAACATTTAAAGTTGGAGGGTGTTTATATGAAACTCTCTTTTCTAATTCTACTCCCCCTATCCCACTATTATCCCATGTTTTGACTTCGCATGGAGATTATGAAAGTAAAACTGAGTGGTTCAAACTTCAAAGTTGTCAAGAGGAGAGAGAAACATTATGAACCACAAAACCTTTACCTAAAAAGGAAAGATGAGATTACATTGGGATAGACGAAAAAGAAAGAATGAAATATATATTGGGCCAGAGAAAGTATATTTCTCAAATTCCAATTTGACACGATGTAGGTCCGTGGGAGAAAATGTATTCAGGCTGGCTGCTTTGGGTAATTATTTTAACTTTGAGCTACCCTCAAACCAGTAGGCTTTCTGCCTAGATAGTTGAAGATTCACTTTATGTGTCTATTTTTACCACCTCTATGATTGGTTAAATTTAACAATCCCATTAAAAACTTGCCACCCCCTTTTCCTCACCATTTTTTTCTAGAATTATGTGCACTGTGCACTGATATTATAGTGGTGCTAATATTGCTATGTGGAATAAGAGGTATTCGGCTTAAATAATAAATAGGGAGTTGGGAGGCTAATACCTACATGGTCACTCAATGCTTTAGATAAGAAGTAGAGTAAGTTTGTGATTATTTGATGTGGAACTGAGCTCTTAACATCTTGATTTGGGAATACTAAACCATTCATGCTCAAGATCACATAGGTTTGCTTTTTTATTTTAAAGTTATGAAATTAGTGTGTATGAAGTATGTTTCATACTTTATTCTCATTTTTAATGACGGAATAACACAAAATGACTCACTAAACTGTCTGCGCTTCTTTGTTATGAAGCATTAGTCAATCCATGAAATTTTTGACGTGATTTTCATCATGGGTCATCCATAAACAGTCTCGTTTGCTTTAGCAAAGGGGTAACACTGCGTACATCTGACATAGAGCTCTAAAATATCTTCGATTTGATATATAATGGACCTCGTAACTCATTGCGAGTAAAAAGTTATGTCTTCTGCAAAATCAGTACTATTTAAACGTAAAATGAGCAAAATTTGGTGCGTAATATTGATTATTTTATCAAATTTTAAAAATAGTGTATAATTCATTCATTACTTGAGTGACATGACTCAGAGACAGAGCAAAACCAATCTATCTTATTGTTAGGAGTGCCTATTTATCTAAACTACATATGAACCATTCAACTCTGGACATTGTCTAAAAACCATCCACCATTTTCATTTTGTATATAGTTGAGTTTTGATCCCTCCGAGCCTTTTTTCTGGCTCCGCCACTAGGTGTGAGCCTCTGCGGCACTGGGTAATGTTGTTATTGTATTATCATGTTTAATGATGCTTGCGTTGACTCTTTTTTGCTACTAGAAATGTTTATATCTTATTGCTTTTCAAAGATACACTAGTAATTTGTACACGGTAGTTTTAATAAACTTTTGAAATAACAATACATTTTAGTAATTTGCTTTTCATGTCTAATCATATAGGAAGTGTTTGCTGCGAATGTTGTTAACCTCAAAGGCACCAAAGGGGTTTACTTGTATTTTATGTGAAGTAGAGACTCCTAGAGGAGGTTTAGTTTATTTAAAATTTCTAACACTGAAATAATTACCTTTACTTCATTTCAGGTGCATGACCTCTTGATGTTGTACAATGAAATTGAAATTCCTCCAGAGCGATTGTTGTTTAAAATCCCCGCAACTTGGCAAGTGCGTACATAAAATGAAATTTTTACACTAGAAAATAGCATAGAAGCTTTTTACTTTTTGATATGATATCTTGTTCCTGTCTTTCTTTTAGGGGATTGAAGCATCAAGGTTGCTAGAAGCGGAGGGCATACAAACACATTTGACTTTTGTTTACAGGTATAGATAGTAGATTGTCATTCTACCCCTGAACTTTCCAATTATTGATTTCCATATATTAATATCCAAGTTTCTAAGGAAGACTTGTGGTAAGCTCATAAAGCTAGACAATAGTTCTAAATGCCTAAACTATAATGTAAATGCAATATCATAGCAAGTGAGTTATTTTTCTAAAATAGGATGGATAAATATGCAGGGAGCAAAAGCTCATTTTTGTCCACGGAGTCTGAGTGTATTGCTACCTTTGACAACAAACTTAGAATAGTATCATTAGTCCCCAATCCCCATACAATAAAACTATAGAAAATTGGGCATTTCTTATCCTTGATAACAGAAGTTAGAAACCTTAAAATAAGGATGGAGAGTTTCTATTGAATTTACGGAAGTACTAGTAGGTGTGGCCTGATTATCAAAAGTTGTCCGGCAGATGCTTTTAACTTTTGGATAGGATGAATTAGTATAAGCTGACTAACAACCCAGGAGTAATACAGATTATTATTATTATTGTTGTTGTTGTTATTATTATTATTAGTATAATTATTATTGTTTTTGTTATTATTATTGTTATTATTTTTGTTGTTCTTATATTTAATATTACCTTTTGGGGCTAGCTAATCCCAAATACTTATATTTAATATTACCAAGGTTGTACTTGATATTTTTATGATTATGGAGTAAGCGTTACTTTTTGAACTGCAGAACTGCTTCATCAGTCATTTGTTCCAACCCATCAGGAGAGTCATATGTTAATTTTTTTCATCCACTAAAAAGTCATATTTCATCAAACAAAAGTAACCTTTCATGTATTTCATGATTTTTAACAGTTTTACATTGCCACAATTTAAAAGTTGTACCATGACCTAATATGACTTTTTTTATATGGAGGGAGTAATAATTTCTGTATGATATGCAACATGTTTCATCTAATAACATATATGATGAATCCTCAACAACAAACAACAACAAAAACATCCAAGCCTTAATCTGAAAGATTTTGGAGTCGGCTAACAGGAATTGATCTATGATATCAACGCCAAATAAAGAAGAAAGATAAGAAAATTAAAAAGATAAAGTAAGATAAGATGGATAAGATAAAAATAACATAAGAACACAAGATAGATAAAAGAGATAAAGGAAGAGAAGAGATCGATCGTCACACGTATATGCGCTCTTCCTCTCTCCAAAGTCATACTCATCCAACCCAAGTAGAAGCATATTAGTTCTGATTCCTCTAATCGAAGTTTGTTTGGGTCTTCTCCTCCCCCTCCTACTTGCCTCTTCTCCCCACATTTTAACTCGTCTAAAAGATGCATCACTTGGTCTTCTACGCACATGACCTTACCACCGCAATCGAGACTCTTGCATCTTATTTTCTATAGGTGCTACTCCTACGTTTTGTCTGATTGTCTTATTCCTGAAGCAGTATTTTCTGGAGTATGTCAACACATCCAATGTAACATACACATCCCTGCCACACTCATCTTTTGAATGTGACATTATTTCACCGCCCAACACTCTACGCCATACATTAGTGCATGCCTAATTGTCGTCCAATAAAATTTACCCTTCAGTCTAGTTGACATACCTCGATCACATTGAAATCCCGATGCACTAGTCCACTTCATCCACAGTGCTCTAATTTTATGGGATACATCTCCATCTAATTCACCATCCTTCTAAATTATAGAACCCAAGTAACGGAACATATCACACACCGGTATCTCCTTGCCATCTAATAACATGTATGATGAATCGTCACATATTTTAATTACCTTAGATGATTATTGTGGTTAATGCATATGGTTTAACAAAGAAGATGAGTTTGGTGGCATACATTTTTTATTCTTCTAATAGTACTGATGATTTTTGCATTTGTTTGTTTTAGTTTTTGTCAGGCTGCAGCAGCTGCTCAAGCTGGTGCTTCTGTCATTCAGATTTTTGTTGGTCGTCTGAGGGTAACATCTGTCCTCTATCTGGAAATTACATGGTTTTGCCAAGTTGGTTTGTTGGCACTTGTGTGTTTGGGGATGCTAGGATTGGGCACGACACCATTCCGGAGACTCTGAAGTAGAGGGTGCTATTAAAAGAGGAGAAGATCCCGGATCTGCTCTGGTCAGCATTCCTCTATTCATTCGTATGTAGTTTTCTTCTTGCAAATGAAATATTTCCAGCTTGTGGAACTTGAACTTTGAGCATCTAAGAGGACTAGTATGAAATAATACGTATATGTTTAGAGTCAAACTTGCTATCAATGTTGCATATAGCACCTACTGAGGGAGTAATTGGAGCTGGGATGTAAGTATTATTGATAGGACAACTCAGCCCACTTTTGGCTGAAAAGATTCAAAGCTAGTCATTTATTGAAAGCTTAGCCTTGTTTGGCTGGTTTTTCTGCTTCAAGAGCCTTTCATCCTCGCCCATACAATAGTCTTGATCCAGACATTAACACCTAATCCAGACATCAGCTTTTAGCTCAAGTTTGTGGTGCCCAAACATATCCTTATTCAAATAAGGTTTGGCCTCAGCTGGAAAACGATTTAGGTTCCCATTGAGAGCCTAGCAACTAGGCAGTGTTTTTATTGATGCTATTTATTTTAAAGATGTGACTCATTCTTGCGTTCAACATCTATTTTCTTTGAAGACAATGCATAATGCTTAATTCCAATGTAACCCACTCACTGTTGTAAAATTGCAGGTTACAAAAGCTTTTAACTACATCCACACATATGGGCATAAATCAAAACTGATGGCAGCGGCGATTCGTAATAAGCAGGATATTTATAGCATTTTGGGGTACTCAACTCATCACTGCCTCTATTGGCTACAATAAATAATTTTTGTGCTCAATTTTTGTGTGTATTTTTTTCAGGGTCGATTACATTGTCACCCCACTCAAGATATTGCAGTCTCTTAAAGAATCTGTGACCCCCCCAGATGAGAAGTACTCTTTTGTAAGAAGGCTATCCCCACAATCAGCTGCTTCATATAATTTCACCAAAGAGGAGGTCAGCACTTTCCCATTTTCCCTTATTTTTACTCCCCCACCCTCTTCTTCCCAATGAAAGAGAAAATATTCGGGCAAAGTACACAACCTATTGAAGTTTGGCATGGTACAACTTTTAATATTCTTTTAATAAGCACATAAAAACTAGTTCCGTTTGATGAAATAGCCAAATAAGATGCTTAATACTGTTTCTTTATAATATATTTAACTCATCCAAATAAGATGCTTTTTACTGTTTCTTTGTAATATACTCCATGTTTAACTTTCATCCAAAAAAAGAAATAGGATGCTTTTTGTGGGGAAAAAATGTTTTAGAACATGAAACTCTTTATGACACAAAGTGTAAAGGCACAGAATTTTTTCATAGATGCTACACTTCCCTGTTGTGTCGATATTTATTTTCTCAATCAAGCTTGCCTACTCTTGTCTATTCAAACATTCACTTTTGGTCTCACACATATTAATAACCTTTGTGGGTTTTGTCCCCTGCTTTCATATTTTCATTTTTTGGTCACATTTATTTATTTATTTATTTATTGAATTAACGCTTGGATGTTGTTATTTATTGAATTCTCGCTTCTTTTGGTGTACCTAACCATTTATCTGGATAGATACACCAGAGAAATCTTGTATTGCATTTGCCTTGTATTGGTACAGTGGTATTTTGATCATTAGAATTAGAGGTAAAATATGAATGCTTGTGATGATGTTTCCATTTCTCTTCATGTGACATGTCTTGGTCGGATAAATATGCTTGAGATATAAACATGGCAAGGATGTAGAACCTGTAAACAAAAAAATTGAAAAATGAGGATCAGAATTGAAGAAATAAACCGGGGGACTGAAAATGAAACTGACTTGCAGTGATATGATCAAAAGTGGAAAGAATTCATGTTGATTAAAAGATGGATGCTCGTGAGCTTTTAGGAAAGCTATGACAGCACACTCAAAGTAAGAATAAAAAATATACGAAAACGAAAAGTCGCTAGGGAATTCGATTGCCAAGAATAGCGTGTCATCAGCATTGAACTTCACTTACCTTTTATAGGCATTTACACAGTGTAATCACTATTAATCATAGTGGCTAACTAACTATGACATTAACATGCTATTAGGTGTGATATCAACTACTACATTAATACAATATTAACTATGGTGTTAATAAGTACATTAGTTGTCTTGGTCGTTGCCTCTTCGGGCTGGCATATCTGCCTGGTAGGTCAGCTGCCTGAGCTCCCTCTTTGTTGGGCTGATGCTCCTTGCTGGGGCTAGTAGGTTGGCTCCCTGCCAGGCCGGTGGATGACTCTCTTTGGCTGGTAGGTCGGCTACCGAGTCTCGACAGTTAGAGAAACCAAATCTCCGAATGAATTGCTTTAAGTGTTCGTTATGTAAAATATGGAAACATAAACATGTGAAATGAAAAGTAAACATCGAGTCAAAATGTACATTAGCCAAATGTAAAATAAGGAAAAGTGTAAAATACAAAGTCATGGCTGGGATGCCTAGGAGAACCATCACCATTTGGCAAGGTAGTATCGACAAGCGCATCGATGTGCTCGAATACAATAGTATAGTCCTAGTTGTAGTTCACGGCGTCAAGATCCACCATAACCTTGGGAAACCTTCGCGGATTCCAAGCTACATCACTATTCCCGCTGTGGTCATCCTCTTCTTGACGAATGGAGGGCGGGAGGACTGTTTCCTCATCGAGATCCTTCATGCGCTTGGGTAGGCCTAACCGTAACAGGTGAAAGTCGGGACTAGCTTTTCTAGCTGATCATATAATTTCTGTTGCATGTGATGCTTGTCTCACTTGAGAGAATAAAGAACCTCCTGATCCCGCCAAAGCTCCCCTTCTTTAGTCTCCACTCATTTCCAAACCATCTCATAACGTTCTGCCTCCACCTTGGTGGCCTGGAACTGTGCAACTGCCTTCCTGCCCATTTAAGAGTTTCAATTTACAATGCTTGAAGATGATTTCGGAGAGAGATTTCTGACTGGCCTCCTCCTGCTTCAAGGATTCATGCAGGGAAGCTTTTGCCTCATTGGCCTCGCGTTGGAACTTCGTCAGGAAGTAGTCATCGGACCGAAATGCTTCGACAATCTTGAGTCGGCCTAGAACTTAATAAGCCTAGACCCAAGATTTGGACCTGCGAGTCCAGGTCCACGACTTGGATTAGCAGGTCCAAGCGTTCAGTATTCCACCAGGGCAGTGGGCCTAGCAACTGAGAAGCTCAGACCGGCGCAATCTGCAAGCCTAACAGGAGCTGACCAACCAACCTGGCAGTGATTTGACCTACCATACCAATGGGGAGTCTGCCTAACCCCTAGCAGGGAGACAACCTTCTAGCCCAGTAGGGAGCCGTCCATTAACTTAACAGGGGCCAACCTACCAAGCAGAGAGTCATCCACCAGCTAGCCTGTCAAGGAGCCAACGTAACAGTCCATGCAAAGAGCCAAGAAGCCAGCCTATCAGCCCAACAAGAAGGGAGCTTGAGCTGCCGACCTACCAAGAAGACTTCCCAGCCCGGAAGAACAATGACTGAGACAATTAATGTACTGCTTAACACCGTAGTTAATATTGCATTAATGTTATGTTAACATCGCACTTAATAACATGTTAATGTTGTAGTTAATTAGTTTGTATAATTAATAGTGGATACGCTTTGTAAACGCCTATAAAAGGCAAGTGAAGTTCAATGATGATGACACGTTATTTCTGGCAACCAAAATTCTGCACTTTCCATTTTCGTATTAATTTATTTCATACTTGAAGTGTTCTGACGTAGCTTTCCTAAAAAGCATACTAGCATCCATTTTTTGACCAATAGTTCTTATATAAGTTCGGCTTAGATATATAGACACTAGACCCAATCTTTTGCAACCTGTCTAGCTTTATCCTTGTTAGAACACCGAAAAGTACATGAATATGAGCCCAAGCTAAATGTGGCTCATTGTGCTTATTGACAGAGTAAGTAGCTTTTGCCTTTTGGCATATTTGGCAGAAATATATTTTATCAAACGTGTTGCGTCTTAAAAAATTATTATTTCGCAAATTCAGTCACATTATATGGGTTATGTATTTGTAATTTGTTACAGGGTCATTTGAATGACCTCACCAAACAGGTTATATATTTGTAATTTGTTACACACACTATTGGACAATTGACTATCTATCCGTAGGCCTGTCAACGGGCCGGGTACGGCCGTACGGGCCGGAATGTAGTGTTCCGGACCCGGACCCGTTAGCCTCTGTATTGTTCCAGACCCAACCCATATACCCGGCGGGTCTAGAACTAATGTTCCGGACCCATACCCAACGGGTATCGGAACCGGGTCGGGTAGACCCGACTTGTCTCACAAGAATCCAACTCCAATTTCTTCAATAAAAACACGACTTCTTACTATCAAGTACTTTCTGGGAACAACACGGTGGACTATAATTACATGTCTGTAATTACTACCAAGAATTAAAGCTCCTAATTCTCCTTGGCTTTCTTACAATACTACGTATCTTACAAATTACTCCATAAAGCAACTCACAGAGAACTAGAGAAGGTAAAGAGGCTCATCAAATAATTACTTTTTACGTAAAGAGTAAAACTAATTGCTTGGAAAACTGAACAGGCTTCTTGAATTCTCTATAGACGATAAACTCTTGTGTGTTCTTTAGGGATTTAATTATAATGCGTAGGAGTAATGTGGGTGGCACTATTGTAATCTTAACCTATTTTAATAAAGGACAGTTTCTATATTAAATGCTCTTTGTTCCGTTAATACATAATATGTGTGTGTGTGTAACGGGTTGGATCCTAATTCCTAAACGGGTCGGAACCACATATACCATACCCGACCCATTTAATGACAGGTCCGGATCCGGGTCTGGGTAACGGGAAAAAATATAGACCCATACCATTAAAAAAAGACGGGTCTGGGTCGGGTTCGGGTCTAGACCTGACCCATTGACAGGCCTATCTATCCGTTTGAAGTGTGCGTTATTACCAATAAATTTCTATGGCATCAACAGAAAGTTTAAATATGTGATAGCACTAACTGGTCATTGGGGTTATACCCAGGTTGTGACATGGGACCAATATAGCTTTGCCTCGGCTATGGGACCTGCCGCTGTGGAGCTTCTGACTGCTGGAATGGATGGCTATATCAGCCAGGCAAAGCGGGTGGAAGAGTTGTTTGGGAAGATATGGCCACCGCCAAATGTATGATGCATGTGAATTAGCTGATCAGCGGCTTGCATAGTGCCAAGGCAATAGCAAGAATTGTATTTGTCCAAAAACTAATGTGTGGAATTTCGTCTTTCAATTACTATTGATCCTGATGTAAAGTTATCAAAAATAAAAAGCTTAGCTCCTTTCACGTTCGTTCAGTTTAACTCAACTAGGAGAGATTCTACGATTATACTTTTATGGAGCAATGGTAAATGTAGACTGCGAAACATAAAAAAGTAAAATCTAGGAAACGTGAGGGAGAAATGTGCCTTTACAACAAATATAGGAGTATACTGGCGAGTGGCGGATCCAGGATGAGAACTTATTGGGGGCAGAAAAAAATGCATCACAAAAAAGATTAATAAAGTAGTAATGTAATATTACAATAATTAAAGTCTTACCAAATACATCACAATTGTTCACGGCGAGTTTTCATCTTTTGAAAGAGATCCATTACAGTTTCATTTGTAACAGTTTCAAACACATCTCTTTCAATAAAACAAGTCAAACTATCACTCAAATATCTATCGCCAATTCTATTGCGCAAATTAGTCTTCACTATTTTCATAGCGGAAAAGCATCTCTCTACGGTTGCTGTGGCAACTGGCAAAGTCAATGCTAACTTTAAAAGTTTATACACCAAAGGATGTGAAAGATGTTTCCTTGTATGATTGTATCCACCATCACTCGAGCAAGATCACCTAGACTTTTCAATCTAGCAAATCTTTCATCCGCTAACACATTGTCAATGTAAATACTGACTTGATGCTCAAGAGTTCTGCGTTCCACATAACTGAAGTCACTTGGATAAAATTCAGCCAATCTCAACAACTTTGAAGCATCAAACTCACGGAAGGAATCAATCGGACTCAAAGAGGCCATGCAAAGAAGTAGCTCAGAATTTACCTCATTGAAACGGTCATCAAATTCACTAATTTGCAAATCCATTATGGTATTAAAACATTCATACTCATAATGATGCCGATTAGTGATATTAGTTCTTTGGCGTGGCCTCCTTGGGTTAACAAAGTCCTCATCCATATTAAGCACAGAAATTTCATGCTTCTCACAAAATTCTAAGATCTTCCTCAAATGTGAATCCCATCCATCAGCTCTTACCTTAAGCAATTGTTGCTTTGTTGTTTTCACAAGTGAAACAGCATTCAATATGTCTTGATCTTTCTTTTGAAGAGCCACTGACAATGAATTTGTGAGTCCCAAGATAAGCAACATCAACTGCAAATAAAACACAAATTTAAATGATTGAAAATATGTTAGAAGACCATTAGCCTGGCGTCTTTTCACACTGTCTACGCCCTCCACTTCAATGTACTCAAGGACTTGAACAACTGATGGAAACAGTTCAATCAAATTGAGAAGTGTTCTATAATGGGAACCCCAACGTGTATTTCCCGGTCTTTGAAGGGCAAGCTCCTGATTTAATCCTGTTCCGGTGCTAATTTCACCATTACTTATAGCTTCTTTAACTTTTTCTTGATGACTTTCTCGAATCATATCTCTCCTTTTGCAAGACGCACCAACCACATTTAATAAAAGAGATATCATTTCAAAAAAATCACCAACATCAAAGTGTTTCTTCGAGACCGCCACAACAACTAATTGTAGTTGATGAGCAAAACAACGGATATAGTACGCCGAGCTACTTTCTTTCATGATTAAAGCTCTCAACCCATTGAACTCACCTTGCATATTGCTTGCACCGTCGTACCCTTGGCCTCTAACATTTTTCAAACTCAGGCCATATTCAGAAAATACAGAATCAATAGCAGATTTAAGAGACAAAGAAGATGTATCCTTCACATGAACAACACCAATAAATCTTTCTTTAACTATGCCACACCGATCAACGTACCTCAACACCATAGCCAATTGCTCCTTGTAAGACACATCACTAGACTCATCAACCAACAAACTAAACACATCATCACCTATCTCCTTAAGCACAGAGTGAACAACTTCCTGTGCAAAACAATTAGCAATGTCTTTTTGAATGCTAGGAGCAACAACTTGATTATTTCCTGGAGCATTTTTCAATACAACCTTACTCACAACATCATTTTGACTAGCAGTATATTTTACTAGTTCCAGAAAATTGCCTCTATTGTTGGACTCTTCAGATTCATCATGACCACGATAAGGCAGTCCTTGATGCAATAAAAATCTTGAAACATCAATAGAAGCATTCAAACGAATACGATATTCATTCTTCACAATTTCACTTTGTCTATGCAAAGCAACATCAATTGACTGGTCTTGGTTCATTAAATCATCACATTTTTTAAGTGCCTTATTGTGGAAACTATTTATATTACCCACATGAGAAGCTAATCGCTCCGTTTTATTCCAACTTGAGAACCCTTCAGTTACAAATGCATCATTCCCAACACGATTCTCAAAGTGATCTCTAAACAAGTAACAAGGCAAACAAAAGGCTTTGTCATCTTGTATACTATATTCTAACCAATTAGGATATTGATCAAACCATTTAGAGTTAAAGCGTCTTAAAGTCTTCCCAATCTCTTTTTGTGGGAAGTCATGACCACGTGGTTGACAGGGTCCTTTAATCAAATATTTTCTCCTGATTTCATCTATTTGATTAGGATGGTACTCAGAAATTTTTCTTCTTTTTGCGGGATCTGAGGGAAGCTCATCCAAATCAACTTGTTTAGGTATTGATGAAGAACATTGAGATGCAATATTTGAAGCATTATTATTTGAACTACCCGGTGAAGGAACGGTAGCCCAATATCTCTTCATTGAGTATTTGAGTCTGGAAAAGAAGTTAAACTAAAATTAACTGTTTTAATACTGATGGAGTATATGGCCCGGGAACCCCCGGCCCACAGACTCCTACTACTCCAGCGAAGGCCCAACAGGCCCAAAAGGTCCAACAGGCCCAAATCACAGCGCCCAGAGTACCAAGCAGCCCGCACTACGCGCCAGGGGTGCCTTCGGCCCCCTGGCCGAAGGCTCTAGATTCTCACAGAACGGGTTTCTCAAGCAAATTAAGAAACTGGGAGAAAACGGCGAAAACAGTAGCCCTCGGCATTGTGAGCCCTCGGCACCAGTGTGCCATCGGGTGGAAGAGCCCTCGGCTACTGCTCTATAGCCGAAGGCATCTCACTCGACAAGATATCCGCCTCACATGCGTACAGATCACCGTACCCCGCACAGACGTCCCATCCAACAGCCGCATTAAATGCGGCCACATGCGGCTGCCAGCGCCAACCAGTTGAGGTAACCCCTCGGCCAATAAGCGCTTGACACGTGTCCCTGCCCGGCATTTATTGCTACTATAAATAGCACCCCATTTCCCCATTTGTAACCACGCTGAAAACGGCATTCATACTGAATATACTCTCTCTCTACTTTTACTTACTTACTCTGACTTCTCTCTAAGTTACTCCCCGTAATAACCCTTCGGATATATACCCCCAGGTAGACTATCCATCATTTGGTGCTCTCGTTGAGAGGTCGAACAATCGAGTAAGAAACCCTCCCCCTCGACCAAACACAAAACACTAGCCCTCTATCAAAATGGTGAGGACAACACGTGCCAACTCAAAGAACGTAGAAGACAAGAACCTGGCCCTCGGCGACGTCAACGCCCCCGAAGCCTCTCACAGGGCTCCCGAGGGCGGTGTCATCGCTGGGCTGGAACAGGCGGCTGTCGACCTGCGCCTCCAGATCCAACAAAATGCCCCCGATGCCCGCCTCGGCATCGAGGCCAAGAAGAAAAACCGGAGCGATGACCAAGTCAGCCCTCCGGTTCTCACCATCGACGTGCAATCGGCGCTCTCCGCCTTCATCCAGACGCTCACCCAGAACCCGGGTGCCTTCGGCACCCTGGCTCCAGCTCACCCTCAGATCGGGGAAAATATCATACTTCCCCCTCTGCCACACCCCTTCGGAAATCCCACCCCTCGGGTGAGAAACGATGAAGGGGTGGTGGCCCAAGATACATCCTCCCAGGAAGTTCAGTCCCGGGACCGCCATAATGACAACAGGGAGAGGCCCCGTACTTCCGCCCTCAACCGGCTCGGAGGAGGGCCAGACCGCCGAGGGGTCCAAGACCGCCTCGGGGGGAAAGCACTCCAAAGGCCCCAGGAAAGTGGGGGATCTGTTTCGAGGGCAGACGAGGAGCGTCCCCCTCGGGACAAAGGCAAGGCACCCCTTCATGCCGATGATGCTCGGCACCAAATCAACCAGACCCACTCGGCCCGGGTTCGTTCGCAGGGGGCGGAGACCCTCCCGAAGGATCCCCGGGACGAGGTTATTGCGGCCCTCCAACGCCGGCTTGACGAGATGGAGTCCAACAAAGCTCACGCCACCACCTCCGCCCCTCATTCAGATCTCAAATACGAGGTCATGATGGCCAAGATGGAGGAATTACAAAAGAAGGTGGCCGAGGGCTCCGGGGAACCCGTCATCCAGCTCCGGACTCGGACGCCATTTACTCCAAGGGTATTGGTGGCCCGGATCCCGGAAAAGTACCGAGGGCAACATATACAGCCCTACAACGGAAAAACGGACCCCCAAGAACATTACAGCAAGTACCAGAACAGCATGATGATGGTGGGGGCGTCGGACGAATATTTGTGTCGTTGGTTCCTCTCCACCTTAGAGGGGCCGGCGTACGAATGGTTCAACAGGCTGCCCGAGGGCTGTATTGATTCATGGCAAGAACTCGCCCAGCGGTTCTTGACGCAATTTGCCGGGAGGCGTCGCACAAGGAAACACTTCTCCCACCTCCTAACAATACGCCAGAGGAAGGATGAGACCCTTCGGGATTTCCTGGAGCGCTGGAGGACGGAGGCCGACAAGGTCGACGGTGCTGATGACGGGACCCTCCTGTCGTATACTGCTACGTGGATATAACATGTTGAATGCTCTATTTTTGTTGGGTGAAGATTTTTGGGAGTAGGCTGTCATAAGGATTAGATCATTTAGAATGAAAATTGGTTTTGACAAATTTACTTTCTGTCAACGTTTAAATTAATTTGCATTATTTTGGATTGGGCCGAGACGTCCAGTTATGTAAATTAGATTTACGTTGGAATTTTAACAATAATTTGATCAAATTAATCTCATTTTAATTAGATTACTTATCTTTGAGATTTTGAAGGATAATTTAATTTGTCCGATTATCGTTTTTAGCATGCTTTTACTTTATTGTTTGACTATCGTATTGTTTATAAATTAGATTTATATTGC